AAATGTGTTCATACAGAAATGATCTTCCATCATAGGCTCCTTGTGCTGCATTTGGGCTGGGAAATCACTGATGGAAACAAGGTTCCTGTCCTTAGGTGGTCATCTCCAGGAGACACCTGACAACACAGATCTGCAAACAAGAGTGTTACTCTAACAGAGCTCTGCACACCCTGCCGAGGCAGAGTGAGGGCAGCCCAAGGAGGTGGCCTTTGAGCTGGACTGGAAGAAGTGAGCACAGGCAGTCCAAGGGTTTCATACAACCAAGCAACATTTAGGAATCAGTGAAGTCTGTTATGTTAAAAAATTTCATTTCATACATGCTTTATAATAGTAAACAGGTCCTGGTTTGCAAAAACATCAAAACATCATTATTACTTTATTATGTTAAAAGAGGTTTAGTGTATCTGGATGTGTTTAATTTTATGCATAGAAGCATACACTGTATGCTAAGATCTGACTAACTGATGTTAGATTCATATCACATTTAAAGACAGACTTAGGAATAGAATTAATTTATTATCTGGCAGCTGTCTATATTGATTGGTGAACTTAAAATCTCAACAGCTGTCAAGTAATTTCCAACTTCATCAGGCCTACAAGACTGTACATTACAGTGAGTAGATATTATCCATCTTTTTCCCAAGGAGCTGCTGGTAGATAAAACTGCCAGAGATATGCAGCCCCTGGGTTAGCATTCAAGAACTCCCCATGAACTACACCACCAGAGCTGGCTATGCAAAAGGCAGAGAGTAATAGACACAAAGACACGAAAGAGCATTTCGCATTTGGGAACTCAGAATAGCAGTAGCTAGATCTTCCTGTCTTCTGATACTGTCTACTAATCAGAATTAACTCATAGCTGAACCTCCAGTGGGTTTAAGAGGCTGAATATCAAAGGAGATTGCCCATCTTTCTCCCAAGGATCTTCTAATGGCTTTGAACTAGTGTGGTGTCACTCCATGCACTGCACCACCAGAACTCCCCTTAATCAGGCTTAGTCAAGAAACAAGAAAATCATATACCTGGTGTGAAAAACAATGTATTAGAATTTTGTAAATGAACTAGTATTAGGGAAAAAAAAAAGGAAAATCATATGCCCAGCAGATGAGGTGATTCTCTACCCTGAAGAATCTGAGTTGAGACTCATGCTCAGATTGCCTGCTAGGTCTTTTGAGCAGCAGTATGAACAGTGGGCTGGAGGAGAGGCTGTTATGTCAGTTGGGATCTCCCCTTGAACATAGTCATAGAAACAAAAGATGCTGAGAACCTGAGGCAAAGGCAGAGTGAAGGGTAGCACAATAATGGAGATCTTTAGGAGGGAGAATCCATTAGACTTGAAGGTATCTGTGCACCATTTCTAGTATAAGTCCCCAGTTGTTGTTTTGTGACATCAAGTTGACTATGACGTGTAGAGACCCTGTGAGCAGTGGCTCTGAACCTAGTGCTATCTTGACCCAGACTCAACGACCCAGACGTACCTGACCCACTGTCACAGTTACTGTGACAATCCATCTAATCCAGGTCTGCGCTGACGCTCTCCCCTTCCAAGCATGATGTCCTTCTCCAAGCACTGGTACCTCCTGGCAACATGCCAAAAGTATGTGAGACAGAGCTTCAAAATCCTTGCTTTTAAGGAGCAAACAGGTTTCACTCACTCCAGGACAGCCCTGTCTGTTCTCTTGGCAGTCCATGGTATGTTCAATACTCTTCTCGAGCATCACAACCAAATGGACCAATTCTTCTCCTGAAGTACCATATACTGAGATGGGAGCCATTTTTAAAAACGTTTTCTTTTCTCTTTTTGTGGCTGCAATATTTCACTCAGCATAATGTCCTCCAGGGTCACCCATTTTGTATAATATTTCATGAGTTCTTTGTTTCTCAATGCAGCATAATATTCCATTGTGTGAATATACTACAGCTTCTCTATCTATTCGTTTGTTGACGGGCACTTGGTTTGTTTCCATCTCTTTGCTATTGTGAACAACACTGCAAAAAAACATGAGTGTGCATATATCTGCTTTGGTGTCAGTTCTGGTTTCTTTAGGGTACATTCCCAGTAGTGGAATTGCTGGGTCAAATGGTATTTCTATTTGCAACTTTTTGAGAAAGTGCCATAGAGCCTTCCATAGTGGTTGCACCATTTTACACTCCCACAGTGAATAAGGGTTCCAGTTTCTCCACGGCCTTGCCAACATTTGCTGTTTGCTGCTCTGTTGAATTTTGCTATTCTTACTGGGGTAAGATGCTATCTCATAGAGTTGTTTTGATTTGCATCTCTCTTAGAGCTAGGGATTTTGAACATTTCTTCCCGTGCTTGTTAGCCATCTGAATGTCTTCTTTCGTGAAGTGTCTGTTCATATTCTGTGTCCATTTTTCAATTGGGTTATTTATCTTGTTGTGGCACTCAAGTATTCTATAAATTCTAGATATAAGTCCCTTACCAGACTTGTCACTTACAAATATTTTTTCCCAGTCTGTGGCTTCCCTTTTTACCCTGTTGGAGAAGTTTTGGGATGTGCATAGGAATTTATACTTAGAAGGTCCCATTCATCTATTTTATCCACTCCTGGTTGTAGGTTTTTCAGGATGCTTGGAATACTGTTTATGGTATGGATTAGGGCTTTTAGAATACTTCCAAGTTTTTCTCTAATAATGTTTATGGTCCTTGGTTTTAGTCCTAGGTCCTTGATCCATTTTGAGTTGTTTTTTGTGGATGGTGTAAGGTGTTGATCTTACTTGAGTTTTTTACAGATAGTTTTCCAATTTTGCCAACATCATTTGTTAAAAAGGCTGTCATTTCCCCACTTAACTGATTTAATCTCCTTGTAAAAAATCAGTTGACCATAGGTACATGGCCTGATTTCTGGATTCTCAAATCTGTTCCATTGATCTATGTGTCTGTCATTGTACCAGTACCATGCTGTCTTGACCACCCTGGCAGTGTAGTAGGATTTGAAATCAGGGAATGAGATGTCGCCTACCTTGTTTCTCTTTTTAAGGAGTGCTTTGCTTGTTCTGGGCATCTTTCCATCCCAAATTAAATTGGAGATTGCCTTTTCCATCTCATCAAAGAATAAAATTGGTATTTGAATTGGGATTGCATTGAACATGTAAATTGCTTTTGGTCATATTGTCATTTTCACTATATTGAGTCTTCCTATCCATGAGCAAGGTATAGTCTCCTTTTCTCCTTTTTTTTTTATTTTTTATTTTTTTATTTTGTGTGCGTGTACCGTCAAATCAGATCTGACTGGTACAGGAGTATATTACGCCTCCTTCTCCGGCAGAGCATCTGGTGGATTCGAACCGTGTTTCTCTGGGATTGCAGTGCAGCTTCTTGCCACTAGGCCACCATCCAGGTCTCTTTTTATTTCTTATAGTAATATTTTGTAATTTTCTTTGATAGATCCTTTGTGCTTTTGGTTAGATTTACTCCCAAGTATTTAATCTTGTAATTAGCTATTGTGAAGGATGTTGTTTTTCTTAGCTCCAGCTCTGTATTTTCTTTGTCACTGTAGAGAAATCCAACTGATTTTTGTATGTTGATTTTGTATCCTGACACTTTGTTGAATTGGGCAACTCTGTCCAGTAGTTTTCTTGCTTAGTCTTTAGGGTTTTCTAAGTATACTATCATATCATGTGCATAGAGAGATAATTTTACCTCCTCTTATCTCTTCTTTCCTTCTCTGGTCTTACTGCTACCACTAAGACTTCCAATACAATATTTAATAGGAGAGGTGATGGTGAGCATCTTGCCTAGTTCCTGTTCTCAAAGGGAATGCCTTTAATTTTTCTCCATTGAGAACAATGTTGGCTCTTGCATTTGCATATATACTTTTTACTATGTTGAAGAAATTCCCCTCTAATCCTATTTTGTTGAGTGTTTTAATCAGGCAAGGGTGTTGGATTTTGTCAAAGGCCTTTTCTGCACTAACTGATCGATCATTAGTTCTTGTTCTTTGTTTATATGATGAATTACATTGATTGTTTTCCTTATGTTATACCATCCTTGCATACCTGTTATGAATTCTACTTGGTCATTGTGATTTGGGGAACCTAAGAAAAGAGGGGATAAATAATGTATACTGCATTGAAACAGATGAGGGAGAGAGCTGTTTAAAAGGAATATAGGGTAAGGTATTATTTTCATGAAAAGATTGCAGAAAAAGAAACAAATATTAAAGTGGACTGTGGACTTGGGGGTTGAGATTGTATGACAATGACAGCATTTTTTTTTTCTTCAAAGAGAAAAAACTAACTGGTGGAGGGGGTGGGCAGGGAGGGAAATGTGCAATAATGAATTAATGGGGAAAAAATTAAATGGAAAGAATATGCTGTAAAAAAAGTCATCTTTTTATTGATGTAACAATTTCAATAGCTCTTTTACCTACTTAAATTTAACCCTACAACAAATTCAATTTTACATGTGCTCAGGTTTTGAATAAAAGAAATTAAATCTTTTCATGACCTCAGTCCCCCACAAAGAGAATTCTACAGTCCAATTTCTCTACTATTCCCAATCCATTTTGTAAGTAGTATCAAGAAGACCATCAAGGAAGTCTAAGAAGTAAAGCACATATTATTTTGAATATTTTATTTTGCAGGGTTGTAGACCATGCAGAGAAAAATAAAATGAACTCCAAAAATTTGGGATTGATATTTGGTCCCTGCCTCATTAAGCCAAGACCAACAACTGCTCCTGTCACCATAAACTCCTTTACTGAATATTCTCATCAAGCACGATTAGTGGAGTTCCTTATTACATATTCACAGAAGATATTTGATGGGCCCTTCCAGTCACAGGCTGGAGTTGTGGACACTGCAGGTGTAGGTGATCCTGAGGCCAAAATCAGCTCTCTTCCAAAGGCTGTGGTGCCACCAGAAGAAAGGGACTCAGAACATCTCATGAAGCCACTGTTTTATTCTTCAAAGGAAGTAAGTTCTGACCTGAAGGAGTGTGTTGAAATTTTCTGATGTTTACATTAGTAAGTTAAAAAGCTTTGGACTGTTTTGAGGTGTGTTTAGTGATTCAAGTTTAAATATTCTCTTTTTATCAACAGGATATTCTTACTACAGATAGTGAAAGCAAAGGTTTAGAAGCAGTTACACCATTTGGGGAATCAGACCGCAAGCAAAATTCATTTAAAAAGTGCACTGGTGAGTGGCCATGTAAATAAGTTCTTTGCTAACTCTAAACTGTGCCAGTAGAGCATGATTGATGCCAAGGTTAGTGGAGTTGAGTGATGTTAGAGAAAAAACATCATTAGGAAAAGAGTCTGTAGCGCTCATTAAGAATGTTGTCTTTCAAAAAAAAAAATGAATGTTGTCCTTCATCGTACCTTGCCTTTACATGAACACCATTCTTTACAATGATCTTACTTATAATAAAAGCCCATCTTAGAATTTAAAAGTATTTTTGGAGGTATTTTTGAAAAGTGTTTTTATTATTTTACCGTCAGATGAAGACAGGGCAAATATGTGTTAATCAATGTAAAAATTAGCATATTTTCAGTATATTGTAACTGCAACTTAAGGAATCAAAGTAGACTCCTAAAACTGGATTGCTTATTTTCCAGAAGCTTTTCCCCTGATGCCTACCTTGAGCACATTAAGAACAGTTATGTTTATTTGTTTTCTTTTGTTTTTTTCTTTCACTGCAGCCAGTGTATTCAGTGTTTGTCTTATGGTAATTCTGGTTTCAGTGATTGGTAACTGTCAGCTGGTGAAGATGATTCTACTTGTTTGTGTAACTCTCTATATTATTCAAACTCCAGGACCCACTGCCATCAAGCTGATTCCAGTGCAGGACATGTAGGGCAGAGAACTAAACCATAGGGTTTGCAAGGCTGTAAGTCTTTATGTGAACAGAGTGCAGCATCATTCTCATGAGGAACAGCCAATGGGTTTGAACTGACTGACCTTTTAACCTTTTAAGCACTATACAACCAAAGCTTCTAATTCATTGCTGTCTGAAAAGGGGGAAATGGGACACAGAGATACAAGGCCCTGAGCATCTCTTTCAGAGATGGCCAGAAAGAATGAGAACAGCACAGCCACTCACCACCTCAGAGCAGAAAGCAGATAAGAGGCTGTGGCCCAGCCCCCTGGTCCCTGTAGAGCCTCGGCAACAGCAAGAGGTCCTTTTATTCATTGCTGTCTCACAGACTGACAGTTACTGTACCAGTGATAGGGATTATTAGGGAAGAAAGTTGGAGAAAGGGGGAGGCAAAGAATATTCCTTAAAATAAGTCCAGGTTTTAGTCCAGCAGCTCCACGGCACAATTGTTCAATTAGTCCAGGCTTCAGTCTCAGGTCAGCAAGCAGCTGTTCTTTCCATAGTCAAAGGCAAGAGTAACAAAAACCGTTAACTGTGGCCAGCAGCAATGCAAGTAGTGTCAGGTCACACCTTGCCACAGTTTCTGCACAATGCTAGTCTCTCCACTACCAACGTCTCGCTACCACAGGCCTTACATGTCACAAGCCTTGCTCGCCTTAAGTCTTGCTGCTCCATGTGGGAAGCACTCTTTCATTTATCCTAGGCCCACAGCTGATACAGATTTTCAAGACCATGCTGATTTGCAAAATCATGTGTACCATCAATTAAGGTTGCTGGAGACCAGAGGGGCTAACTAATGGCTAAAAAAGCCAACTTTTAGTCTACCACAATTGCTAACGTTGTATTTTAGCCTGTCAAAATGTAGGCAGCTTTGATATGGAATACCAGTGGTCATAGACTGAATGGGCTGAAAAGAAGAGCTGTAAGACTCATTGATGGTCTGCTTGCTGTGTGCTAAGCTCTGTGCTGATCATGTGTTCCATTTCTCTGATTTGATCTTCATCACAGTTCTCTCAATTAACCACACTGAGACTCACAGCCTAAGAGAGGTTAAGTCACATCCAAGGCCATAGTCCAGTCAAGTATTAAACCCAGACCTGTCTGATTCCTAAGCCTGTGTTTATTTTACTATCCTCTAGTTAGGAATAATAAGAGTATTGAGTGGTCTTCCCCGGAACAAAGTGACAGAGCTGAGACAGGAACTCAGGCAAGTGGGCTGGAAGTCTTCACATGCACGCTTTAGGCTTTAAGACTCTCCCTCAGAACATCCCATCAGGTACACTTGATGCTCACAGTCCAGTAGCAGTGCGGTCAGATCCCTAAAATGGCCTGTGCATGTGGAAAGGACCTGAGAAACAGTGAGAAGGCATTGACTCGGTGCCTCAGCCGTATCATGCAGTGAAGGGTCTGAGATGATGATCAAAGGTGACTCTGAGGGGCCCCCTGTATGCGTGGATGTGTCCCCGTGATGTGGGGAAGACGGTGACAGGGAGGAGGACCCGTCAGTGGTGCACAGGGCAGTCGAAGTTACAGCCATAAAGGTGCCAAGGCCCAGAGGTATTGTCTGTGCAGCAGAAAAGACAACGAGCAGAGGGTCAGATTCTTCCGAGAAGAGGGAATTTTAGGGGGATGGTGCAAAAAGGCACCAGGTTTAAAGGAGATGATGGATGTAGTTTGAGAAAACATGGACATGGTTCCAACTAGGTAGGAATATAAATGTTTGTGACTGTCAGTCAGGTTAGTTCTAACTCATGACAATGAGAAGAAAGTAAATCTGGAAGCAAACAGTAAGTGAGGTGAATGACGTGTTTAAAGTTAGGTGTGCTTACCTAACAGAAAACTTCAACCTTCGTTTTACAGGCTGGAGGTTATAGTCCATTTACTAGTTCATCATCTCTGAAGGCATTTTAATGTATTAATTTGTTATTCTGGATTGAGGGTAAATGAATGGCAGATTAAGTAAACTGGTAAAAATTTTGGGATTTAGAGCACATCCGTGTTTGGTTAGTGTGTAAATTATTACCACTCTTCTGAGGTTAATTAACCAGTATTGAAATTCTGACAGGCCTTTTGCCCAGCAATTAATTGATCATACACATGAAATGACTTTTTTTTTAATGTTTATTGGGGGGTTTGTTGTGTGTTTGCTAATCTGTAGTGTGTTTTGTAACTTTTTATGGTAATGATTTCCAGTGAGTAGAAAATTCTAGAATTTTAAATTCTTAAGTGTACCTTTAATTTTTTTTTTTTAGTTCAGTTTTATTTTTTAAAATGTACAGTTGGTTGAACCTGTTTATGCATCTTCTCCAGCAGTTGGGGCATCACCACCTTTGGTGTTTCTGGTGTAAATCACTTGAGCTCTGTGTTTTGAAACCAGCTTGATAAGCCCTTTCCTTAGCAGCTCCTGAAGGGCTACCCTGGCCAGGGAACCCTGAATCTTCAGTCTCTCTGAGACAACAGCTGGGGTTATAAGCTTATAGTTGGGAACTTCTTTACAAAGTTTGTCATATGTGGCTTTGTCAAACAAGACCATGTTATTGAGTTTGTCCCGAACTTTGCCTTTGGACCACTTCTTCTTCTTGGCGTTGCCCCCAGATTTGTTCACTGGGTCTTTGTCCTTCTTGGCCGACTTCCCAGCGTCTTCCTTCTTCTTGTCATCCTTGGGCGGCATCACGAAGCTCAGAGAGGAGCTACCACAAGTGCAGCCTTGTTAAGATGTCGGAGAAAAAGTGTACCTTTAATTTTTGATGACTATTTGATTCCTCTGCATAGTTAACATATATTCCATAGAAATATCTAAGGCCATGTTTGGAGTGCGTGTCCATCTAGAAGTCATTCACATTTCTTATTTAACTAAGTGCCACAGTTTAATTTTTAACTACATCTACTTCTTTTTCAGATGACAAGGAACATTGGCTTCCTGACAACAACATTGAAACCTCATCCCAGAAAGATGACGATGTGTATAAGACCCGTAAGTCACTTGTTCTGAAATGTGATAGAGATGCCAGCTATGTTGAAAGACATACTCGAAGGAGCAGGGTAATGGTTAGACCTGTGAGTTTGCCTGTAGATAGACTCCTCCTTGCAAGCTTTCCTAACGACAGAAATAGCAGATATGTGGGAAATGTCAATTCCGAACAGTTTTCTAAGAATCCTGCCCTTGAAGGAGTTCATGAAAAAGACAGCCCCAGTACTGTTTGTTCCAAACTTGATGACAGTGACCTGCAAATACTACACAAAACTTTGGACAAACAGTCTGAGCAGAATGGCCTGACCTCAAGGACAGCGAGGAGTATACCCAATGTGCAGCAAGAGAAAGGAGTGACAAGTGTGAGGACCAGTGGGGACCAGGTGGTCAGGGCCACCCAGCCCAGTAAGCCATACACCGAGCCAGTCAGGTCAGCAAGGGACGCACTGGAACGAAGGTCGTCGGATTCAAATCCTCTTGCTCCTGTCAGAGCACCCAGAACGCTTCAGCCCCAACACTGGACAACATTTTATAAGCCACGGACTCCTGGTAGCACTGTAAACAGGGGTGAGAAGAGGCCTGGCACCCCACATACGCTCCGTGCTTACAGAGTGAAATCACTCCCAGACTCGGAAAGTGAAGCAGCTTGTCCTGGTCAGCTGGTGGGTAAGCTCAAGGAGAGCCCCAAGGAGCAGGGCCAGCCAGATGGGAACCCAGCATGTCAGAGACCCAGGCTAAAACGAATGCAGCAGTTTGAAGACCTTCAGGATGAACTCCCTCAATTTGTGTAGGGTTGCCAGAACTTTGGTTGTTTTATTGTGTGGTATTGTGTTTGTTTTTGAAAGAATGTTTGATGGTGCTACTTTGTATAGAATTGAGAAACTCTGGATTTTGTTTCTGTCATTTTAGGTGTGAGTCTGTGTTGGTTACATGAAATAGTTGGTGGGTTAACAGTTATATTTGGTCCCACTGGAATTACCTTTAAATTCTTTATTTTTTAAGTTGTGAATATAATGTGTGGTCTCATATTTTCAAAAGATTACTTGATTTTTCCCTTAAAATGGTTCATATAAATGCATCCTTAATATATATTTTATTTGTCAACTGATAGGAGCAATTGCAGAAATAAGCTGTATTTTTTTTGAAGTGAAACTAAAAGCTTATTTATGGAATGTTTCCAATCAAGTATCTAAAGACTTGTTATACTTGTTCCCAAACTCTATTACTGTCTGTATGCTTCTGTAGCCATCTGTGCTTTGTTATGTGTAAACTTTTCTTCTTCAATTGACAATTCGTTTTTAATACCTTAAAATTTATGTAATGGTCAAAGGACTGCAAATCTTTATTTAATGGCATTTGAATTACTAGCCGATTTTTATATTACAGTCAGTTGATTATATGGAGAACATGAACTTAAACTTGTGTTCAAATTGTCATCTTTGGCTCTATATGATTTTAAACATTTGATATTTTATTTTCTTCCAACCTTCAGTTTTATTCTACATATGCTTTTGTTTCAACAATAAAGTACTTTGTCTTTATTTTATATAATGGTCAAAAAAGTGCCTATTTCAGAAGTTTTTAAATTCAATACATTGCCTCTAATGTATGGATTTTGTTTTTAACAGTTTATTTTGTATTAAATGGTTTCACTTACAAATGCTTCTCTGTAAATTATTTTTGTCTGTCAGCCACTGAAAATACATATTTCATCTGAATTGAGCAGAGATTGTTTAAATGGATTCTAATACATTCATTAAATCTCACGGTCTGAAATTGGAAAATGGTTTAGATGATAGGTCTTGTTTTATTTATGAAATCTCCTATTTTAGAAGTAGTGCATTCTTACTATGTTTTGAGATTCATAATTTTGTCTAAAAAAGAGTGTAAAAGGGATCTGAAAAATGGCCCCTTTTTGTTATATGTGACTTGTATATATAATAAATGTTTTACTTGATGTAGATATACACCTACACACATTAACTCTGTAATTATCTTAGGGTCTGATGTCATCTCTGAAATTATTGCTTCTCATGGGGATGGATTTTAGAAGGTGCTAGCATCTTTTAGGGGTTAATAATTGGGCTCATAGATCCCTTGACTAGGGTATGAATTGTATTTTATGGACAATTGCTTGTACTTTTATGTGATGTTAGGAAGTAGGGAGAAGTGAAGAGCCAGACATTTCTGTGTTGGAGCTTTGTTTTTGTTCTCATTATATGAAATAAAAAATAATCTTATTGTCTATGAGAACCTAAAAACAAAATAATCCTCACGATGTGCCGAAAACTTTGCTAAATTTCTTACATACATTATTTTATTTCCTTTCACATTCACTTCACCTCTCAAACTCATTGCCATTGATTCAGGAAAGACACAGGGGGGGTTGGGAGGCAGTAAACTGCACAAGAGGAGATTACTCATCTTTCAGCTTTGGAGCTGCTGGTGGATTCAAAGTTCCAGAGAAGCACAGCTTGTGGGTTAGCAGTGCAACTCTCTGGATTATGCCAGTACAGCTCCATTTTTCTCTTCTAGAGGATGAGAGTTACTTTGACCCTATGATTGTATATTCACTGTATTCCTTTCTACTGGCAACTAAGGGAGAGTGAAAGTTTGGGAAAGAACTCTTCACAGTCAGAAATTCATTACTGTTGGTTGACTCAGAACTGGCTCATAGCTAATGCTCCAGCAGATATCCAAGGCTGTAAATCACAGGCGAGTAGATTGCCCATCTTCCTCCCCCAAAAGGCTCAGTCTTTGGCTTAGCTGGGCAACTCCCTGCAGACTATGCTATCAGAGCATAGAGAATTTTTAAGTACTTAAAACTAGGTCCACTTTGCAATGTAATGTGCCTCTCGTTCCAGAATGTTGTCATGTATATAGTGTCTAATCATACATTTCCTTCAGACAGTTCTTCCCCTCATGTGTTCCAAGGCAAAGTATTGGAAGGGAGGAGGAGGAATGGAGTGGAAGGTAGGAAAATGTGCAGCAATGAATGAATCAAACCCCAATCTTTCTGTAAACTTTCCTGAAAATCACACACACAAAATTTAAAAAATTAAAAAAAAAAAAATAACCAAAATCTGCACAAGAGATTTGTGGAGAAAATATAAAGCATATGAAGAGTTATTTAAGGGGACCTTAAATAAGTGGAGCATACTACAATGTACATGAATCAGAAGACTTGGTATTGTAAAAATACATGTTTACTTCATATTATATACTTAATGTAATCTCAAAATATATTTTAACCAGTTAGAAATCATATTTCATGACCCTCTAAATATTTACACATGTATTTTCTCAAAACAAGTTGTCTCCTACGTAACTACAGTAAAACTATCAAAATTAGGAAATTAAGCATTGACGTAATAATTCTATCTGCCATATACCTGACTCGCACTTTGTATGTTGCCCAAATAAGTTCCTGCCAGGTTTACTTCTTAATTTTCTTCTTTTGTCTCCTTCAATCCGGGAAAGGTCCTTTCTACCCTTTTTCTGGCATGACTTTGCTGCTTTTGAGTACAGCCCACTTACTTTGTGGAGCATTCCTCAGTTTGGATTTACTGAATAATCTCACAAGATTAAATTTGTTATTGTTAAGTGCAATCAAATAAGTTCAACTAATAGAAACTCTATGCACAGAGTCCTGCCTGATCCTGTGCTGGCCTCACAATCTGCTGTGCTTGACCCCTCTGTTACAGTCACTGGATCAATTCCTCCTTGAGGGTCTTGCTCTTTTTTATCAACCTCCTACTTTTCCATACTGGTTGTGTCTTTCCTAGGATGTTCTCCTGTATTCTTGATTTTGCTGTTTTTATACTACTATGTTATTGAGTCACCTGTGGCTAATAGCAACCCTATTTCCAATAGCTGTGAACCCTGTCCTATCCTGATCCAATCTCACTGACTCTGACACACCCACCCCTACTCCCCAGTTACCTTGTCAATGCATTTCATCTGGGGTCTTCCTCTCCTTTGTTGTCCTTCACCCTTCCAAGCATGATGTCCTGTATTCTTAGTGCATCCTAAAAACCAAAACCAAACGCTTAGAGTTGATTCAGACTTAGGGCACCCTTCTTCAGCTTGCCAAGGCTATAAATCTTACAGGAGGTAATTGAACATCTTTCTCAGAAGCCTGTAGATTTAAATCATGAACCTTTTGGTTGGCAGGCCAATCTAAGTCACCATGGTTCCCCAGTATACCATCCAAACTCAAATCTGTGCCATGGTATCAAGTCAAATTCATAGCAATCTTTCAGGTTTATTTCCAAGGCTGTGGATCTTTCTGGGAGACATGGCAAACCCTAGTGGTATGTGAAATAGTGTAGACAGTCAAATCCACCAGCTACCCCCAAGGGAAAAGGTATGAATATTTTTCTTCCCATAAAGATTTATAACGGAAAATTAAAGGGTTGCTTATAAGCAAAAGTTGGCTTTAGGGCTTAATATATTACAGGAAATGCCATGTTCTTCTGTGTCGATACTAGTGATATTTACTTTGATCATTTGGTTAGGATAGTATCTGCCGTGTTTCCACATTGTTGTTGTTGTGTTCCATTGAGTCTGAATTGACCCATAGCTGACCTTCCAGCGGGTTTTAAGAGGCAGTTAATCGCACAGGAGATTACCCATCGTTGTCCTGTGGAGCAGCTGGTGGATTCAAACCAGGTGCCTTCAGGATTGCAGTGCAGTGTATTGTCACTGTGCCACCAATGCTCCCTTTACAGTTATCTAAAAACTATATTATACAGTTCTTTAAGACTGTGAGAATGGCTTGATTCCCATCTAATTGTTATCAGCTCAGTTTAGTCCATTCATTCTTGCTTGAGTCAATTATGATCAGTTATAGACATTTTGCATTGGAGTAATTTGTACTCCTGATGAACCTCATGTGATGAACCTTAGAGAGTAGAACTGCTTGAAAAGGTTTTCTTGACCGTAGTCTTTCCAACACAGATCATTAGGCATTTGTAGCACTGTGTCACAGGTAGGTTCAAACTGCCAACTTTTAAGCTAATGTAAGCCATTACACACTGTCACTAACAGGGAGTCATTGTCATGGTGGTTACCAACTGGCAAGTCTCTCATTTCTGCTGCTTTGACTGGCATTCTGAAAGGAAGAGCTGGCCCTTCTTCATTTGTTCATTTATCCATTTATGTCAGCATGGATTCCTAATTAAACCATATTATAATTACTACTGTTATTTTCAATACTGTACTTTCCCCAGATTGGGGGCTTGCACACTGACTGTGAGCTCTTTTGCCTTGTCCTTATCATGCACTCACTGTTTTGTACATTAAGAGTCCCAGGCTATGGAAGGAAAAAATAGGTAACTATTTCAAAGAGATGTGTCAAGCTCCTGCTGTACTTTATGGAACTCAAGATGTGACAAGTGGTCATTGACAGTGGGAAGCAACTGAGTTTAAACACTATTGGACAACACTTGGAAATACATTAAATGTGTATATGCACCTGTGTGTCTGTACACACAAGGATCAAGATGTGCAGTGTGTGTGTGTGTGTGTGTGTGTGTGTGTGTGAAATCTTCAATTTTAATTCAGTATTTTAAGTTCAGTTTTTCACTTGCTAAATTTATAATTTAAATCAGTGAAAAATTTTACTCAAACAGTTATTAACACATTATTTCCTCCACTCTTCCAGGTTCTTAACAATGCCAGTTGCCATCTTGCCCCAACTAACTCCAAAACAGCCAGTAAATCCTCAGCAATAACCATTACTAGTTCTCACCACACAGATGACAAACCTGCTAGTGGAATCTCTAGCACT